ACTTATTTACATGAAATTTAAACTTAGGAATTGGAGGTCACAAATTCCAAGTTTTTTTTTTCCACGCAAAAATTCTAACTTTCTATATTTATGAATTCAAACAAGGGAATTGATGCGTGTCAATTTATAAATTCCGATTTTAATTCAAATTCCAAATTTATTTCCTCGTCTAAATATAGTATAAGTGTTTTGTTATGGGTTTGAACACATTTGTATTTCAATCTCAATTTCGTAAATTAGATATTCAATATCATAGATTATAAATAGGGTTTACTAGTAGACAAATTTATTTGTTGGTGCAAGAAAAGGAAAACAGTACTCTCGAAATCCAGGAAATCCCACCAATTTATTTATGTTATTAAGACCTCTGATTTGGTACTGAGGTGATTTCGAAAAAAGCTGGGAGCTTTTTTGTGTTTGGTAAACATTCATCTTCAGCTTTTTTTCACAGCTTTGGGTGAAAAAATGCCAAAAATAAGAAGTTGCAAAGCCCAGCTTTGAAAAACTGGTTTTTTTTCATATATGTTTTACATAAAAGTTTACCAAACACTATAATATTGCTTCTTTTTTTTTTTTAAAAGCACTTTTACAAAAAAGTTTACCAAACACTCTGCTGCTTTATTTCATACTGTTTATTCTCACAGCACAGCAAAAATAGTTTTTTTTCAAAACACAACAATACCAAACCAGCCCTAAGTTCAAGATGCTAAAGACATTAAAAACAAAGGGTAAGATTGGAAATCACATTAAGAGAAGTGGAATAATAAACAAAAATATATGAGGTGGACATAAAGTAGAAAACAAAAATCGTGTTCTTTTCTGCCAATCCATGCTTCCACTCAGACCCACAAAGGAGGAACCTTTTCGAAGACGCCGAAGACTAAAGAAGTCTTGAAAGCATTAATTGAATGTGTTCAGTAGTTGCAGCCTCAGGACAAAACTTGTCTGCCAGTTCAAACACTGCTCAATTCATGGCTAGATTTCAATCATGAACAGATCACTTTGCAAAGCCAAAAGAAGAAGAAGACTAAGAAACCGTCAAACACGGGTTACAGGTATATCAGCTGATCCAAGCCTTTCTTATGCACGCAAGGTACGTACAAGGAAGTGACATATGATCACAATGCTTTCCATCAATCTCAATGTGTTCATAACTCTTGTGCTGATCGGCTTCCTTAGCCTCAGCCGTACTAGTGAAGCTGCCCCGAGTTACCGCTACCATGTCTGTGATAACACAACCACTTTTGCTCCCAACAGCACCTACCAGTCAAACCTTAACCTCGTCCTCTCTTCTCTTACCTCCAATGCAACCATTGACACCGGATACTACTACACTACCGCCGGCTCTGAAGATTCCAACTCTGCAGTTTACGGTGCTTTTCTATGTCGCGGCGATCTCACAGCCAGCAAATGCCAAGATTGTGTTACTGCTGCGGCCAAAGAAGCAGTTCAAATGTACTGCCCCTCAAGAAAAGCGACTCTGTTATGGTACGACGAGTGCATGTTACGCTACACAAACGTGTCTTTCTTCCGTAAACTGGATGAAAGCCCTAGGGGCTTTCTGTGGAACGTGGGGAATGCTAGTGAACCAAACCGGTTTAGGCAACTGGTGGCTAAGACTGTCACTGGCCTAGTGTCCGTAGCTGCAAACGCACCTTCCCGTGCTAAAAAGTTTGCAACCAAAGAAGAAAACTTTACTGGGTTTCAGGAGCTGTATAGCCTTGTGCAGTGCACGCCTGACCTATCAAGCACCGCTTGTGATCAGTGTCTTCGAGGAGCTATTGCACTTTTTCCGGCATGCTGTGACGGAAAGCTAGGAGGAAGAGTTATGTTTCCTAGTTGTAATGTTAGATATGAGGTGTATCCATTTTATACACTTGTTGCTGCCGCACCTCCGCCCACACCAGTACTTCTTCCTTCTCCACCTATTCAGCCTCCAGGCTCAGTGCCAAGGTCTCATGGTAAATTTAACTTATATGAGGCAGTTGAGTGTTCAGAATTTTTACACATACATTTGTGTATTAAAAAGAATATTATGTTGTGCAGGAAATGATGAACAAATTTCATCATGGATCATAGTGGCGATTGTTGTTCCAATTGCAATATTGCTTTTCTTGGTAGGCTGCCTTTTCCATAGAAGAAGAGCGAAGAAAAAGTACAATGTTATACAAGAACAAAATGGTAAATATTAAAAGTTTTATTTATTCTTTTCCCGATCCAGTGAAATTATATAATTTCGACTCCTAATCGGTTTGATTCTGGATTATGATTAATTTACTGAATCAAGATAATAAACTTCTGTTCTTGATTGTGTAAGCAGTGGGGACGGAAATAAATGCTGTCGAGTCATTGCAGTTTAGTTTTGCCACAATTGAAGCAGCAACAAACAAGTTCTCTGTTCATAACAAGCTAGGGAAGGGTGGCTTTGGTGAGGTCTACAAGGTTGTGATTTTCACATCACAAATTTATGACTTTAATTGCCAGAGTCCCAGAGCTGGGCGTAGCTAAGTTGGCTAGAGCAAAGTGATAAGCTGAACTCATGAATCTCAATTTGATGCTTGTAATGATTGGTTAAAATGTTTTCAGGGCACACTTCCTGATGGGCAACAAGTGGCCGTGAAGAGGTTGTCTAGGGGATCCGGTCAAGGCTCTGAGGAGTTTAAGAATGAGGTTGTTTTGGTAGCTAAGCTTCAACACAGAAACTTAGTGAGGATACTAGGATTTTGCTCCGAAGGTGCAGAAAAGATACTTATTTACGAATTTGTGCAGAACAAAAGCCTTGACCACTTTCTATATGGTATGTACCCTTCTAATCAGATTTAGGTATCAAGTGTGATATCGTACGCTATTTGATTACACTTGGATTTGTAACAAACCAAGGAAAATCTTTGTTTTCAAATGTCTACATAGACTCCGGGAATCAAGTGAAATTGGACTGGCCAAGCAGATACAAGACTATCAACGGGATTGCTCGAGGGATTCTCTATCTCCATCATGATTCACGGCTTAAAATCATACATCGCGATCTTAAAGCAAGTAACGTATTGTTAGATGAGGAAATGAACCCAAAAATTGCCGATTTTGGTATGGCAAGAATATTTAGAGTTGATCAAACTCAAGGAAACACAAGAAGGGTTGTGGGAACATAGTAAGTAGTACAAAACTTTGTTTATGGTCGCATAATCTATTTGAATAGCTGATTGATTTAATTCTCATCCTAAAATATAATTTACTGAAAAGAAAAGATACCAAATAACAACTCAAAAATTAATCTCCTCATGCTGTATTCGCACTAACATTTACTGATGGTGCTGGTTTATAGTGGTTATATCGCCCCAGAATATGCGATGCATGGATTGTTCTCTGTGAAGTCTGATGTGTACAGTCTTGGTGTCTTGATCTTAGAGATTGTAACTGGCAAGAAGAACACTAATTTCTATAACTCAGACAATGGCGAAGACCTCTTGAGCCATGTGAGTATAAATTGAAGATTGTGATGTGCATTTCTTAGTTAATTCTCTCAAAAGTGTTGAAAACATTTTTGTTGCAACATTTGAATGAGTCTTTAATTTTTTTTTTTTTTTTTTTTTTTGCAGGTTTGGAGACACTGGAGGGATGGGATTCCATTAGAATTGCTGGACGTAAATGTAAGAGATTCATATTCAAGAAGTGAAGTAATTAGATGTCTCCATATTGGGTTACTCTGTGTTCAGGAAGATCCAGATCAAAGACCGAAAATGCAAAAGATACTTCTCATGCTAAGCAGTTACTCTTTGAGTATGCCATCACCTCAAAAGCCAGCATTTTTCCTGCACAGTAGGACAGATCCGAACATGCCACCAATGACTTGTAGCTCATCTGATCAACCTGCTAGCAACTCATTGTCATTATCTGTTAATGAAGCATCGATTACTGAACTATTCCCTCGATAGTAAATCGAGCAAAGTGTGATCAACCTTGCAGGATCGGAGTCCAGAAGTTTTGAGATTTGTGTTGGTTTTGCTACCCTTTTAGGCGTTGTATTTTTTATAGTGCTTGCTAGAATAAAGCTAAACTTTGAAAGTGCACTCAAAGTGTTTGATCGGTTTGCAAATTCCTGTAAAAACCTTCATTAGACCTATTTTGTTTCTTTTTTCTTTTTAAATTCCTCTGCACTGTAAGGTTGTTAAATGATGTCCGACATTCTGAAGTTATTATAACATTTTCCGTAATGCTTATAAAAAATATCTCTAGTGAAAGGGCCAACAGCTCACAGTGCTCACATTTTTCACACAAACTGTGTGCTAATAGTTACTCTTATTTTCAGTTTTGTGGATTGCTTAGAAAACCATCATAAACCCCGTTTTCAAAACATTTCACCGCACTGTAAGCTTCTTAGGAGCTGGTTTTTAGAGTATTATTTAACCCAATTCGACTTTGAAGTAGAAAGTTGTCCAGATCGTAATAGTTGTTGAGCCTTAATTATTAATCAAACTAGCCAGGCATATATCAAGCCAAAAAACAAGCCGGTTAGCAGCATCTTGACGGAGAGAGGTAGCTAGGCATGCCTTGTCCATCCATGAGCAAAATTTTGGCTCCAACAAAAAAAAAAAGGAACGATGAGCCAAATCATCAAACAGCCCAATAAGATTGGCCCAAGCAATGAGTTTTCGGTTTTGCCCTTGACGGCAAGTCTTTGCCTGTTTAATCATCCCTCTCTTTCTCCATCTCTCCGTATTATTACTTTAGTCTAAAGGGTTTTCAATTGCACTGTTCAAATGAACAGTGTTTTGGATCGAATTTCATTTTATTTACGAAAGTACCATTGTGTCTCTCTGCCACTGCTTTTGCGGCTGGGTTTTGGGCTGTGTTTGCTGGGCTACCTCAATTGTTGATGAGGCCGGCCCTTTGGTTGTTCAAATGATGGGAATGCCCATCTAGGGTTAAAGATCGAACGGCCGGGATCAAAAGTTTGGAGGATACTTTTGTCATCTTAATTGTGGGACTGATTGGAATTGATGGTGAGGGGATTGCAGGGCAGACAGGAGGGCGATGGTAAGTTTTGTCTCTACAGTATCGAACAGATTGGATGGGTTAGACAGACTTTCATTTCCTTTCTTTCTGAGCCACGGTAGGAGTCAGTGAGACCATGCCGTGAGAGAGAGAGAGTGAGAGAGGACTGATGGATACTGCCAAAAAGCATAGGTTGCAGAGACAGAGAGAGGGACATGGGCGTGGGATGGCAATGAGGGAAGGGTTGATTTTTTTTCTCCTCAAATCAAGGGTTGGTGTCGGGATTGAGGGGTTGGGTCGAAACGGCGGTAAGACTGTGAGGGAGAGGGGGATGTCAGAGACAGAGGAGAGGGAGCTGGACGTGGGAATTGCAGAGAGAGAAAGAGAACCCAGAAGATAGTTGTTTTGTTGAGAGCTGACAAGAAAAGGGGAGAAACAACGACAAAGTGACAGAATCTGAGAATCTGAAGTTAAAAATGATTACTGGGGTTTTAGCTTCTGGCACTTTCTTCCCTGCTTTTTAAACCCATTTTTCTCTCCACCCCTTCAAGCTCTGGAAGTGTTCGCACAGATTTGAAGCTCAAAAGCGTCAGATTTTATGAAACTCCCGGTGGGCCCGGATTTGGTATTGTTCTTACCTCTGTTTCTTCAATTTTTTTAATTTCTTTTATATGATATTTCTGTGCTTGCTGTTGAAATGAATGTTGTGGTGGAAACTTTTGTTTTATATGAATTGGGTTTTTCACTAAATTAATAAAGATCAAATCTTTATGGTTCTTTGTTGTTTATCTCAACCTTGCTTCGCCCGCAGCCGCTTGAGATGACGTGGTCCTGATCGTCGGTCACTTCCGCGGCAGTTTCGAACAACGGATTCGGTTCCCAAGCTCCGACGATTCTGTCTGTGGCAAAGAGAATTCAGGAAGAGTGGAGGATCCTGGAGAAGGATTTGCCAGGCGAGTTCTTTGTTTTTTTATTTTGAATTTCCTTTTAAATAACTGTTTTGAATTAATGGTAGTGAAGTTTTCCCATGCTTAGCCTATTAATTTTTATCAAATGTTTTGCACCGACCATTTCATGATGCTGACTGCTGTAATTAATTTGGTTTTGTACTGAAATTTGGAGTTGAGAATATATGGAATATAGTTGTTGGATTGGTGTTTCAGTGTTTGTACTTTAGAAACTTAGGTTTGTTTACCCCCCTTTTCATTGACATCCACAGTTACAATATTTGGTAGAGCTTATGAGACAAGAATGGATCGTGTGAGAGCTGTAATTGTTGGGACGGAGGCTACTCCTTACCATGATGGTCTCTTCTTCTTTGATGTTTGCTTCCCCAGTGACTATCCCAATGTGCCACCGGTATGTGATAATTTTGAACGCCTAGAATTGATTTATATCTGTTTACATCTTTGGCCCAACTGGGAACTCTGTTACGCGGAATATCTACTACGACTCTGGTGGCCTTCGATTAAATCCAAATTTGTACAATTGTGGAAAAGTATGCCTTATTCTTGGTTCTGGACAAACCAAATTGAATGTGTATTTGGTGGTTTTCTGCATTTTTTGCATCTTCATTTTCCTACTTTTGTGGTCCTTGCTTTCATTTTACTGGAACTACTCTGCTTCTTTCTCATGGTCCTTAAGCATGTGCATGTTTGTATTTTTTCTGATGGATTATACTATTGGGAGCTTAGTTTCTTTTATTTTGGGTAAATTACATTTTACCCACTTAGGTTTGGAGTCGATTTCAATTCCTTACAGCATCTTTAAAACATTTCAGTTTCATACATTTACTTATCATTTTATTTCAATTTCGTACATCCGTTAGAAAATCCGTTAAGTAAACCGAACGTGACAAATATAAGGTCCACATTTGTGCTGACTTGGCTGTCAAATTTGTGCTATGTGGTAAAAAAATAATTTTTTATGCATTTAAAATATTATAATAATTTATCCTATTTATTTATTAAAAAAAAAAAAAAAAAAAAAAAAAACTAAACATCTTCCCGGACTGTGCGTTGTGGAGTGAAGCGTGTGAGGGTTTGGAGGTCATGGCTGCGACTTGCAGCCGTTGTTGTTTGGGTCGTCGCTTGAACGGCCAGCTTCAGGAGATCGAGTTTGTGGAGGTAATTTTCTGATTGGGATTGGAGCGTGCCTCAGACATTGGAGGAAGGGGGGGGGGGGTTGGTGTGGGATGGGGATTAGGGATGAAAGAGTGTGGCTGTGAGGATGAAGGAGATGGAGGTGGTTGCTCCGGTGGGAGGGGAGGATTGACATGGTGATTGTATGAGATGGGCGGTGGTGATGGAGAAAGAAGGAATTTGGCAGCCATGTCAGCTCTTAATGAAAAATGTAACGGATGTACTATATTGAAATAAAATAATACATGAGGTATGAAAGTGAATTTTTTGAAGATATTGTATGAGGTTGCAATAGACCTCAAACCTAAGGTAGTAAAGTGTAATTTACCCTTTTATTTTTTATATATGTTTGTTGGGTTTGTTGTTTTCGGAAAATTATTGAATCACTGTAATATGTATATAGTGTAAAATAAATATATGATTAATGGGTTGAATTTCGTTTTCGAAAGGACTATTACATGTTTTGTGTCAATTTGGCTGTCATGGTAAGATTACTTCATGGAACAGTGTAATTGTTGTGGCATGTGAATGTAGAATTTTTTTTCTTAATTTAATTTCGGAAAGAAATGTGTTTAACTGTAGTACTATATGATGAAGTTAGCATCCTTATAGGTTGGGAACTCAATTAGTGCACCATTAGTTGTGCAAATGTCTGAGTATTGGTGCTTAAGATGCAAGAGTTAATGACATTAGCACAGTCCTATACCTTCTTGACATGTCGTGAGCTGAAATGCTAGAAAGGAAAATATTGTCCCTCTTCCGCTGGCCTCCTGAAGTGTTTCCACTCTAGTGTCACCATCTTTTGTTTCATTCATTTATAGAATATATTCTTCTTTTTTTCTATACCTTTATTACCTCCTTTTAACCTTGATTATCTGTATTTGATGAGTATTATTGGACCCATTCTCAAAATATTTTGCATCCCCTACTTTTTTCTTATGGTCCTTATACTCAAACATGTGCAAATTTGTATTTTTCTAATGGATTAGACTATTGGGAACTTAGTTACTTTTACTTTTTATATATTTTTGTTGGGTTTTTTGTTTTTCAGAAAATGAGCATATGATTAATCGCTTGACTTTCGCTTTCAAAGGGACCGTTAGAAATTTTGTGTCAATTTGGTTGTGATGGTAAGATTCCTTCATGTAACATTGTGTTGTGGCATATGAGTGTCGAAATTTTTTCTTAATTTAATTTCGGAAACAAATGCGTTTAATGGCAGTGCTATATGATGAAGTTAGCATCCTTATAAGTTGGGAACCTAAAGTAGGAGTAGTGTACTCATAAATTCCTACCTTTCTCTGCCTCCTTCCCCTATACTTGCACCAGTTGTGACTTATTTTCTTTTTTGGTTCTATCTCAGGAGTTTGTCAAGGAGAAAGTTCATGAACGAAATAAATCTAATCGAGAGGTATTTTCTTTTTGGCAGATATCATGAATTATGTTTGGGTGTTTAAACAATATTTGCCTAAAAGCACTCTGTTTTTAGTGGTATTTTAAATAAGGTAACTTCCCCAAACACTGATATTTTGGTTTTCTATTGGTATGTGTGAAACCAGCTTGATTCAAGTTACAAGGTTGAGGGTTGCAGATAGTTGTCATATTGCGGATAGTTAATCATGTTCAATAACCTTAGTTACAGGGCCATTCATTTAAATTTTGGTTTCAAGTTGTAGAAAGACGGCTTTTCATTCTTTCTTAATATAAGCTTTCATTACTGCTTCAGTTTCACATCATTTGTCACTGGCTTTGCTAATATATGTTTTTAGTGAGATAATCTTACTGGTGAATTGTTAAAAGGTAGATAGAGAGAAAGCGGCCTGCGATTTTATAAACTGAAGTTCAGGTGCATTTTCTGTGGTACTGGGGTGTCCGAGAGAAAGGGTTTCGAGGATTAGGTTTTGGGGTTTTGTTTGTGCGATTTGCAGAGAGATTGGGGGTGTCTGAGATAGGATTTAGGACATTTGTTTTAGGAATTGCAGAGAGAGATAGGGAGTGTCCGAGAGAAGTGTGGGAGGATTTAAGCGGGATTTTAGGGGTTTGGTTTAGGGTTTGTTTTCTGCGATTTGCAGAGACAGAGAGATGGGACAAGGATGAGAGAGAGATGGGAGGATTTTATGCGAGGGTTAAAGGTAATGGGTAAGGGAGGTATGGGTTTTTAGGGCCGGTTTCTAGGGAGGAGGTCTGGTGTCAGTGCCTTCACATGGTGGGGGCATGATATGGGGGAGAGAGGAGAGGGGGTTGGTTGCAGAGAGTGGGGCTGTGATTTAGGGGATATAGGAGAGGGGGTTGGTTGCAGAGAAAGGGTGATGGCGTGTGCACAATTAGGGGGACAGAAAGAGAGTTGATTGGGTACAAGATTTGAGGGTAGGGTTGAGGGAATGAGTGTGTTGGCTGCAGAGAGAGGGTGGGGTTGAGATAGTATCAGTCCCTCTGTTGCTTCTCTCTTCCTCCATCTATGACATCTTCATTTTGGGGTCAAAATATGTTCGCTTTTACATAGAAATATGAGTGTATTATTTATTGATTTGGGTTTTTGTAGCTGATACATATTAGGTTTTGTGTTTCTGGGTTTTATCACTAATTGTCAATTGGATTTTCTGGTTTCAAAAATAGGTGGAGGCGTTGACTAATCAGCTGGCTGATCAGCAGATGCTAGTTTATAATCTTGCATCAAAGATTCTTTGTTGGGTTATCAATGTATCATTGAAGGTAGTGTGGTGAATGATCTTATAAAGAAAACTAAGAATTGTGGATTTAATTGTTTAGCTGCTTCTTTTGTACTCAAGTTATTGGGCTTTGCGAGGGAATAATATGTTTTTTTTCTGCTGAATTATAGGCTGAACCAGACACTGATGAAGTATTTGCACAAGTCACTTTACTTCCCGAAGCAAATGTAAGTTGTTGGCTTGAGGATTCTGATTTATTGTGGGCGGGTAAAACTGATTATGGGTTGAGATTCTAATGGTTTGATGTTCTTATAAATTTTAGCAAGATGAGAATGCAGCGGAGAAGGAAATAATATAGGGCGCGTGTCCTTAAACGGGAAAAGACTTTGGTTAGGCAAAGCCAATTGAGGAAGAGAATAGGTAGAGGCTAAAACATAATCAAGTGGAAATTTTAGGTACAAAATGTGCAGTGAGTAGGCCTGGCAAACGGGTCGTGTCTATCGTGTTCGTGTCGTTTTTGTGTAACACCTGTTATCTTAACGGGTCCTTAACATGTTGTGTCACTTTACCCAACGGGTAAAGTGACCCGACCCGTTATGACCCGTTAAGAAAAAAATATATTTTTTTTAAAATTTGCACATACCACACATTGCCACGTAAATATTACTTCAAAACATTAAAACATTTCTCGTTCAAGTACTATATGTACACTCAAAAATAAAAGCCTAATAAAAAAATAATACATACACTATTAATCTATTACAAATATTAAATGTGCAAGGATAAAGAGTTTTTGTTTTTAAGATTGTAAGTCTTTCTCAAAAGTTTACACCTTCATTTACAAAATCTTCAATTTACATCGATCAATGAAATTGTATTAGAACTTTGGCTTGATTTATTGTCTTCAAGAGTAATGTTGAAGATGTTTTCAGTAAGGTTTTCCACGTTAGAACTCTCTTCCGCATAAACTAAGTATAGAAAAACCAAACATTAAAAATCATTCAAATTATGAAAAGTTAAACAAAATAATTATGAAAAGAAATAAAATAATAATACTATACCATATAAAAATGTATTACCTCCTTTTCCAAATAACCAATCTCGTGTGCACAACAAAGCTTGAACTGTTTCTGGTAACAATGAATTACGTTACTGATCTAGTACTCTACCCCCAATACTAAATGCAGATTCTGATGCAACAGTTGAAATGAGAATCGTTAACACATCTCGTGCTAACTGAGAAAGTATCGGATAATGAAAACGCTCCATTTGCCACCAAGAAAGAACATCTATGCCTACTTTTCTATCTATTCTTTTATCCTCCAAATACTTCTGCAATTCATTTTTTTCAATCGAACTTGAACCATCATAATTATTATCAAAATCCTACATCATAAAAAATCATGCATCATGTCAATTTCAAATATAATTTCAACACTTATTATAGTACTAATACTACAATCTACAAATATATAAAGTAAATAAAAACAAACTTAGGTTACCTCAAAGATAACATCCACAGATTCTGTTTGATGAATAGGCACTGGATTCAATGCAATATTTGAATTATCAAGATGTGAAAGTTTTTCTAAGTACACACCAAAAAGATCATTCAATTGGTCATCAACCTTTGTAAATTCAACCGAATTCACACCATGAAGCTTTGTGTAAGCTCAATCCACAAAATGCAATTTATAACGAGGGTCTAAGATGATTGCAATTGCCAAAATCAAACTGTACTCAGACCAATACTTCTCAAACTTCATGTACATGTAAGTCCCCATCTTCTTCATGAAGCTTTTAGAGTCATTCATGGCTGCCTTAATTTGAAGTTGGATTACAAAGACCTTAGGGAAGAACAAATTTGATGTGGGGTACTTTGTCCCAGAGAATAAGCAAGTAACCTCATAAAAGTACCCCAAAAACTTGGAAATCTTCATTATTTTATCCCACTCTTCAGAAGATGGACAACTAGTAAAATTGGAATCACTCAACCCTAAATGAATCAAAGCATATCGATAGAAAATTGCACTATCTAGCATAATATAGGTTGAGTTCCATCTAGTAGGGACATCTTGTCTCAACCCTCTCCTACCATCCAATATCCCTACTTGTTTAACACATTCACAAAACTTTAGTTTCCTAGCCTCAGAGCCCTTTATATACTTGATGCATTCACGAATTTTTATCACCGAAGAATCAATTTCTTTAAGTCCATCTTGAACTATCAAATTCAAGACATGAGCACAACAACGTACATGAAAGAAGTCACCATTCATCACGAGAAGACTTCTAAGATTCAATTGATTCTTCAAAATGCTAACAAAAGAAATATTTGAAGAAGCATTATCCAAAGTAATAGAAAATAACTTCTTCTCAATCCCCTACTCAATCACCGATGCATTAATTTTCTCAGATAATGCAACACCAGTATGAGGAGGAGGCATGTGACAAAAACTTAAAATTCTTTTATGCAATTTCTAATCTTTGTCTACAAAGTGAGCAGTAAGAGCAAGATACCCATCAGTGCATTGCGAGCTCCATAAGTCTGATGTCAAACAAATTCTACCTTCAACTGAGGCTAACAAATTATGAAGCCTTTGTTTTTCATTTTTGAACATCCTCAACGCACAAGCTTTAATTGTATTTCTACATGGTAACTTAATATCAGGAGATATATATGCAAACAAAGCCCTAATTCCCTCATACACAGAAAAACTAAAGGGAAGATTATGCTTGATTATGGCCTCTACCAATAACCCACGGAATACCATAGGATCAAAGTTTTGGGAACAAAATTCAGACACCGACAATACTCCACTAGTCTGTCCAGGGCATATTTTCAAATGTCTATTCATATTACCCGTCCCATGATGACTATCATCTATTACCAGTTTCTTACAATCTTTGCATTGAGCTCAACTTTTACCATCTTCAAAAACAGTAGTCAATTTGTTGAAAGCTTTCCAAACAGGAGACCTGAGTGTTCGCTTATCTAATTTGATCACTCTAGCCTTTTTCTTTGCCGGACTTGTATTTGTATCTTCTATATTTTCACTTCCATGATCAGGTTGCATTCCCATTGTCACTTCCACTGACCCTCCATCACTAAGATTCGTAAAATCTTGCTCTACAGCATCCATTGCTTCAAGAAAGAAAAACAAAATTTTAAAATCTTGCTCATACCAATTTCATATCATATCCATTTCAATTTCACATATATAACTACACTCAAACAGTAGGCAAACAGTAAGCAAACAGTAAGCAAATAATGAAATATCAAATGATTTTGACTAAATTAGTAGGCCGTATAATATAAACCACGATGGCAAGAGAAGATGCTTTATCAATTATCATCATGATTGGCAATGCAAGTGGTGACTTTCGGAATAATATTATATTTCAGCTAGGGCTGTTGAAACATGCATGCAATGTATTATGTATGTAAGCACTTCCCTCATTTCCCACTCCGAAAAGGGTAAGTCCTGCAATCAAATTGTATATCATTTCATTTTGTTATTGTTCATGAGGTTGCAAATTGTAATTGTTGAATTGGGTTTTATCGTATTACAGGGTGTGAGTATGAGGCTAGAACTATGCACCGAGGATAGGCAATGTCTTCTAGCATACGTTACAAGGGAGAAGAGAACGAGGGGAATGTTAGGTAAAAAGGAAATTAGGGTTTGGGGTTTTATAATTTATACAGCAAAGCACCACATGTGTAATAGTTAACTTGATTTTTTTTAATGGAATATTATTTTATTTTTGTTCTCTTTTTGGCAAACCTAGTAGAGTATATTTCTTTTTCGGTTTCACATTGTGTGGAACGGGGGAAGAATCTAACCCCTCCTCTTTTGATTAATATAATGAAATTAGCTCCATTTTCTTGAATTCTTGTCAAACAAGAAAAGTCAAAAAGATTTTTGAGGGTTAGAAAATGAGGAGTAGGTAAATGGTTTTGACAGTCTGTTTGAAAATTTGAATACATGTTCTTTGCAAAACCATGTTCTCTGGAAATGTCTTAGATGTAACCACATTCCACTATGAGTCTATGACTAAGAGAATATGGGTATTTTTAATTATCTATTTTAACTCTAACCTAATTTTTCATAGCAGATGTGCGTGAGGCTGTGCGTCATCTCTCTTGTATTTCAGAATCCCTATTCAAAATCCCTAATTCAGAAACATGAATTTCAAAATCCCTAATTCAGAAACATGAATTTCAGAAATTTCGAATTTAGCCCTAATTCAGAGTCCCTATTCATAATCCCTAATTCAGAAACATGAATTTCAAAATCCCTAATTCAGAAACATGAATTTCAGAAATTTCGAATTCCAAAAGCCCAAATTCAGAGTCCCTATTCAAAATCCCTAATTCAGAAACTTCAATTTTAGAAATTCCTAATTCCAAAAACCCCAATTTAGAAACCCTAATTTAAGAAATTCCTAATTCGACAAGCCTTAATTCAGAAACCCTTGAGTTTATTGCAGGAATTTCTTACCTTGTGCAATGAGGAGGAGGGCAGACTGAGGAGTGAGGAGGGTGACAGAGTGGGTGAATCGGTGAGGAGTGAGGAAACTGACAGAGTGACTGAGTGAGGACTGAGGAGGGTGACAGTCTGGAACCTGGCCTGGGTGAAGTCGAGACTCGAGGACGACGAGGAGAGTGAGGTCACTGATCTGAGACTGAGGTGAGGTGAGAGGGCCCGTGAGGCGCCGTGTCCGCATGACGGCGTGAGGTCTCGGAGTCAAAGACGAAGTCGATCGAGGATTCGAGAGAGAGAGACAGACAGAGACTGAGTGTTTGATTGAGCTGAGATTACCTACACAATGGACGGCTGAGATTAAATCTCAGCCGATCCAATGGTTATCAATTTTTTAAATTTAATAAAAAAAATATATATATATAATTATGAAATGGACGGCTGAGATTTAATCTCAGCCGATCCAATGGTCATCAATTTTTAAATTTAATTTAATATATATAATTATTATAGTTTTTACTTTTTAGGGATATAAAATTATTAAATTAATGTATATAATTATTAATATTATAGTTGATTCATACTTTTATTAAGTATATAAATTATAACATAAGATTTTGTGATATTCACATCCACTAGTGTAAAATATTTTAAATTGAAGATCAAATTCATTCTTTGTATTCATATAGGATCAAGGAGTGTAGCTGTAAAAATTCATCAAAATCAGAGTTAAAATAACCGTTAAATCTTGATTTTTCGTTTATAACCGTCGAAAAGCTTTGTCCCGTTACTTGATCTTTGAATGTTTTTTTTTTTGTGATTTTTTGCTGATGTGATCTCCAAGCATATACAAACAATTTTGACGGTTTGGATCGTTGAAATTAGTTTTGGAGAATTCGTAAAATGATAGATTGACTAACACTTAGAGTTTATTTATACTTTCATTATGTATAACATAAGATTTTGTGGTATCCACTTGTGTAAATATTTTAAATTGAAGATCGAATTCATTCATTGTATTCATATAGGGTCAATGAGTGTAGTTATAAAAAATCATCAAAATCGGAGTTAAAATAACCGTTAAATCGCGATTTTTCGTTTATAACCGTTGAAAAACTTTGTCCCGTTACTTGATCTCTGAATGTTTTTTTTTTGTGATTTTTTGCTGATGTGATCTCTAAGCATATACAAACAATTTTGACGGTTTGGATCGTTGAAATTAGTTTTGGAGAATTCGTAAAACGATAGATTGACTAACACTTAGAGTTTATTTATACTTTCATTAAGTATAACATAAGATTTTGTGGTATCCACTTGTGTAAATATTTTAAATTGAAGATCGAATTCATTCATTGTATTCATATAGGGTCAAGGAGTGTAGTTATAAAAAATAACCGTTAAATCGTGATTTTTCGTTTATAACCGTTGAAAAGCTTTGTCCCGTTACTTGATCTCTGAATGTTTTTTTTTTTTGTGATTTTTTGCTGATGCGATCTCCAAGCATATACAAACAATTTTGACGGTTTGGATCGTTGAAATTAGTTTTGGAGAATTCGTAAAACGATAGATTGACTAACACTTAAAGTTTATTTATACTTTTATTAAGTATAACATAAGATTTTTTGGTATTCACTTGTGTAAATATTTTAAATTGAAGATCGAATTCATTCATTGTATTCATATAGGGTCAAGGAGTGTAGTTATAAAAAATCATCAAAATCGGAGTTAAAATAACCGTTAAATCGTGATTTTTCGTTTATAACCGTTGAAAAGCTTTGTCCCGTTACTTGATCTTTGAATGTTTTTTTTTTTGTGAATTTTTGCTGATGTGATCTCCAAGCATATACAAACAATTTTGACGGTTTGGATCGTTGAAATTAGTTTTGGAGAATTCGTAAAACGATAGATTAACTAACACTTAGAGTTTATTTATACTTTCATTATGTATAACATAAGATTTTGTGGTATCCACTTGTGTAAATATTTTAAATTGAAGATCGAATTCATTCATTGTATTCATATAGGGTCAATGAGTGTAGTTATAAAAAATCATCAAAATCGGAGTTAAAATAACCGTTAAATCGTGATTTTTCGTTTATAACCGTTGAAAAACTTTGTCCCGTTACTTGATCTCTGAATGTTTTTTTTTTTGTGATTTTTTGCTGATGTGATCTCCAAGCATATACAAACAATTTTGACGGTTTGGATCGTTGAAATTAGTTTTGGAGAATTCGTAAAACGATAGATTGACTAACACTTAGAGTTTATTTATACTTTCATTAAGTATAACATAAGATTTTGTGGTATCCACTTGTGTAAATATTTTAAATTGAAGATCGAATTCATTCATTGTATTCATATAGGGTCAAGGAGTGTAGTTATAAAAAATAACCGTTAAATCGTGATTTTTCGTTTATAACCGTTGAAAAGCTTTGTCCCGTTACTTGATCTCTGAATGTTTATTTTGTATGATTTTTTGTTGATGTGATCTCAAAGCATATACAAACAAGCTTGACGGTTGGGATCGTTGAAATTAGTTTTGGAGAATTCGTATGCCATCAATTAAGTTCCGTGTGTGTGTGTGTGTGTATATATATATATTTATTAAGTAGATTTAAATCTATTTATTTTGTACGTATAAATTATAATTGACTGGTACACGGAATAGTACATACATCACGTGTCACGTGTGTCATTATAAAAATAGTGAGATATGTCATGACAGTCATGTGTGTGATAAAAAGTTAATAACTTAAATATATAAAAAAAAAAATTTTTACCACTGCTATTAATTTTCATTTTTCCCTCTTTTTTGTTTCCTTTTCAACTTTTTCTTATCATTTTCAATTTTCCCTCCAACATCTTTCCCTAATTCCCTCACTTTTTTGTTTTATTTTCAACTTTTCTTAACATTTTCATTTTCCCTCCATTTTTTTTTTTCCAAAAAGGGCGGCAAGTTGGCAATGGTAAGAAATTGATTATTGAAATTTGAATGGAAACAAATCAAGTCAAATTTCAATGGATGCAAAATCATGCAATGCATCATGCATATTAAATTATTAATTAATAATTATTATAGTTTTTATAAAATTTAATATATATATATATATATATATAACTATTATAGATAGACTTAATATTTTGGGGTATAATTATTATAGTATATATTGTCACATCCCGGCCCGGGGCGGATCACTTCCCGGGCTCGCTCCACCACCGTAGCACGATATTGTCCGCTTTGAGCCCCGACTACGCCCTCACTGTTTTGTTTCTGGGAACTCACACGAGAACTTCCCGATGGGTCACCCATCCTGGGAATGCTCTCGCGCGCTACTCACTTAACTTTGGAGTTCCCATGGAACCCGAAGCCAGTGAGCTCTCAAAAGGCCTCGTGCTAGGTAGGGATGGGAATATACATTTAAGGATCACTCCCCTGGGCGATGTGGGATGTCACAATCCACCCCCTTAGGGGCCCGATGTCCTCGTCGGCACACACGCGACCAGGGTTAGGCTCTGATACCAAATTGTCACATCCCGGCCCGGGGCGGATCACTTCCCGGGCTCGCTCCACCACCGTAGCACGATATTGTCCGCTTTGAGCCCCGACTACGCCCTCACGGTTTTGTTTCTGGGAACTCACATGAGAACTTCCCGATGGGTCACCCATCCTGGGAATGCTCTCGCGCGCTACTCGCTTAACTTTGGAGTTCCCATGGAACCCGAAGCCAGTGAGCTCCCAAAAGGCCTCGTGCTAGGTAGGGATGGGAATATACATTTAAGGATCACTCCCCTGGGCGATGTGGGATGTCACATATATAATTATTATAATTATTATAAATTTATAGTTAATTTAATATATATATATATATATTTATTATAATTTTTAGGGGTATAAAATTGTAAAATTAATGTATAATTATTACAGTATTTTTTTAGGGTTATAAAATTATAAAAATAATATTCTACTTATCGTGTATCGTGTTACGCACGTGTATACCCGAACCAACCCGTTATCTTAACATGTGCTTATGGGGTTACCCGATAACGACCCGATTCGTTATCGTGTCGACCCAAACACCTGTTAATTTCGTGTCGTGTCGGGTTATCGGGTTGTGTCAGAAATTGTCAGGCCTAGCAGTGAGTCAAGAAATTATACAACGGTGTCCAACTGCTTTCCACCACGGCCAATTTAAAAGGTTTAGTTCTTTTTCCAAGTGAAGAAATAAAATGGCACTTGAATCGTAGAATTATTAAAGAACTATCCTCAATGAAGTAATGAAGAAAACTATTCTCAATGTCTCTAGCTATTCATTTATTATCTTCAACGATTTGGAAACATGCTACTACAGTTTTCAGAATGGTTATGTCACACTTTGCTATTCTTCCTGTCAAAATGGGGAAGGTTTGCATCTATTCAAATAATGACTTAATTTTGTCTTCACAGAGAGGCTTGATTGATAGTGACGCTTTAACCCACAAGAGGAATGCTAAATCCACGACGCCATTCAAGTCGGACCACTGGTGAATGCCTAAACTTTTGTGCTTAAATGGATTCATCAACTCAATTTTGTTGTTAATTTTTGTTTTGAGTCCATTTTCCTTGCTGCTGTTGTATTAGGATTTTAAACTCAGTCGTTCAGGCATGGCACATTTTCAGTGGGAAGCCATAAGCATAATTCATTTTTCTTAAATTTGACTCAAGATTTTTATATGCATTATTCTTCCGTTTTACGAATTTAATTGGCTAAGCCTTAATGATGTTGTTGATGAATCTTCATGAAAATTCATCTCTCTTTTAATCATTGACTAATTTTTTTCTTTGTTGGCAGTCGAGGCAAAAGGTTCTTGCGATTTGAATCAAATGCAAAAACTGTGCAAGTATATGTGTTGTATGCACACATGCACATAAACTAATAAAAAATATATACATGACTTCATGTGTTAAAGATTGTACTTATTCTTAAATAAAGGTTCTGCTGACAAATTTGTTTAACAATATGATCTTAGAACTCATCTTTCTGCTCCATTGTATGACTAGAACGATATTTAAACTTTGTATATCTGAAATATTAGTGATCAATTGTAACTTACCGTGTTGCTATTTGCTAATGACAGAGGCTAGGATTGGCATGTGGGTTGAATTGGAACGTGGGTTTAATTGAGTTTGCTTTTGTTTGTCACTTCGATTTTGGTAGGATTGGCGTGTGGTTGTTCAGGCCTTTACGGCTATTTTGTGTCTGGCAAAGGTAATAACATTACACTTCGTTCCATAAGCTTCATTTTTAATGCCCAGAAAAATTTGGAATTGAGAACATGATGGGGTTTTAGGCAATACCTAAGTTCTGTAATTTTCCCCGTTTGTTGTTATTAGCAATTTCTTCGATCATCTTGGTTTGATAGTGTTTTGCTCCCCAGATTTTTTTTTTAATTTAAAATATCATGGGATTGGGGTTTTAAGATTTTAACAACAATGGGTATGAATTTTGGTCAATTTTGATGCTCAATGGGTATGAATTTTTTTTTGATGCTCAATACCCAAGTTTTGTAATTTTCCCCGTTTGTTGTTGTTAGCGATTTCTTCATTCAAGTTAGTTTGATAGTGTTTTGCTACCTATAATTTTTTTTTTCAATTTAAAATATCATGGGATTGGGGTTTTTAGATTTTAACAGCAATTGATATGAATTTTGATGCTCAATGGACCTTGTTAGCAGCTTCTAACTTTGTTATGCTTTGAAATATTGGTGGGTTTTCATCAAATTTTGCTTATATTTTTGTGCAGTGTCTGTTGTATTATCTGGTCACAGAAACCTTTGTTCGGTAATTTGAGAAGCATGGCGAGATAATAGACTAATCAAAGAGATAGATGTGATCAACGATAAACAGGTAAGCATCATCCTCTTCCTTCTTTTGTTATGATTGAGAAAAAAGTTGAAGACAATTCCGTGCTTTTGAGTTATAGCAATTAGTAAATATAAAATGACATTGATTAGTTCACTTAAGTGTTGAATCCTTCGTTAGTTTATTTGTGGTGTGTGCTTGAGAATGAAAGCAATGGACATTATAGAATTGATGTTCCTTTTAATATCCATAAAGAAAGGAATTGTTCCTTTATTAGCAATTATATGAAGCAGGCGTATTATGCAATACAATGTCTACAATCGATTATTTTACATTTTTGTATATAAGTACAACTATTGATCGAAAGCCATAGAAAGTACCTAAATTTTGGTCACGTAAATATATATATATATATATATATTGTTTTTTTTTTTCAATTACAATAACTTGCATGAAAATTCAATTGGGTTTGTTCTGATCTCCAAGAATTTTACTTTGGTTGGTTACTGATTAATTTATGTGGTGGGAGTTTAGTTTTTGCTTTTCTGCCTACGTATATATGAGCCTTGAGGCGACTAATAGTTATTTTTCTTTTTTTATTATACACTTACTACAAATTTTTACCATCTATTTGTTGGTGGCCCCTATACTTATTAGAGAGGCGGTACAAATATAATTTGAAAAATATAATAAATATAACATTACTCTTTTATTACATGTCCTTAATTCATTTATTAGTTTTTGTTTATCCATAAAATCACCATCATTTCCATCTTTTCATTATTTTTATTGAATGTAACCAACTAAGAAATGGACATGGACAGCGAAGGAGAGATTATTAATTTGGGATTGATCAATATTTTACCACAAGCACAAAAACAAAATTATCATCAGAGGCAATAGTGGAGTTAAAGTCAAGGTGTTCCCTTTATTCTTTGTAGTTTTACCAATTCAAAATTCTAAACCGGGGTAATATATATGCCGTCCTTACTTGGTATAGGATATAGCAAACAACCCAAGTGGCTTGATGATTAGCGAAACAGTTGCATCGTGCTGGTTGGTTGTCTATTAAACCAAGAAATGAAGACTAAGTTGGTTACTATAACAATACAATGAAATACTACATTTGACTTGAACAACAGAAATGGATTCCTCGAGATTGCTAATTCTCTTCATTGTTCCCGTTCTCTTGGACCTTCTTGCACCTGCCGGAGCCGTCACTTGCACTTCTACAGCTGAGTTCTGCTGGAGATGTTCCAACATTGGCACCTACGAAGACGGTGGCAACTACCAAAAAAACCTCGACACCCTCCTCTCCTCTTTCTCTTCCAACAATCAAACCAATTCCGGCTTTTACAATTCATCAATGGGACAAGACCCCGACAAAGTGAACGCAATTGCATTGTGCAGAGGAGATGCGTCCCTCAACGACTGTCACGCTTGTGTCAGCCAGTCTAGTCCCTTTCTCCTCATGAATTGTTCGAATCAAAACGAAGCAATCGTATGGGCGGTGCATTGCATGGTCCGATACTCGAGCAAATTAATATTTGGTATTCAGGAGGATGAGCCTTTTCAGTTTGTGCCTGGCCCGGTTAACGCAACTGATCCCCAGAAATTCGATTTGGTGCTCAATCTCTTATTGGATTATTTTACTGAGAAAGCTGCGTCGGGGGATTCTCTTAAGAAATTTGCAGCCGGACATACGATTATACAAGGAGAAGGAAGTACGACAAACCAAGCAATATATGCACTTGTGCAGTGCACTCCAGATTTGGATAAGCAAAATTGCAGTGATTGCCTTAAAGGGGCTATCTCAAAAATACCAGAATGTTGTGGTGGAAGGTTGGGAGGCAGAGTTCTTAAGCCGAGTTGTAATTTGAGATTCGAGGCATATATTTTCTACGAGGCCAATGCGGATTCTCTAGTGACTCTTCCATCTGTAAAAGGTATGGTTAAACTTAATGTCTTAATTACAAATAATTGGTTTTTTCTTTGCTTTCTATATGTGACGCTCAATAAAATGAACGCACCCATCTTGATGCTAAGCAGGAAAGAAGAGTACAATATCAAAAGCCGTCATCATCATCATCTCCGTTGTTGGGGTTGTTTTTGTCGCTATGATTCTTATGGGAACATTGATTTCCTTAAGAGTGCGGAGACGATGGAAAAAACAAAAACTTGAAAGTAAGTTCAATTGTGATAATTGTCACATAGTCTCATATATTATGCATTTATCTCAGTAGCATTTTAGGACATATATGTTATGATTAAGCTGTCACTTTTCAGATGATAATTTGGAAGACATTAGTCTGGAGGAGTCGTTGCAATATGACTTTGAAACTATAAAATCAGCAACTGATGACTTCTCTGATGCAAATAAGCTTGGACAAGGTGGATTCGGAGCTGTCTACAAGGTAACAAAACACTATATTACAAGAAAAACGATTTAATGAAAAATTGTTTTACCCAACTCACTTTTTATTTTTTCTTTATAAACTTCAGGGTAGGCTACCAAATGGAAGATATATAGCCGTGAAAAGACTCTCTAAGAATTCTGAGCAAGGTGAACGTGAATTTAAAACTGAAGTCACGTTAGTTGCTCAACTTCAACACCGTAATCTAGTAAGGCTGCTAGGTTTTTGCTTGCAAGCAGGGGAAAGAATCCTCATTTACGAATACGTGCCTAACACAAGTCTTAATCGCTTCATTTTTGGTACGTTTGCTCTACCTTTTGCATAATTCATAACATTTCCTCTCAATTTTATATTACTGAAAATTGAATCAACAAAAGAAAAACTTATGAATCATATTTCAATCTATTGTGCTTGTATTTAGATCCTGTCAATCGTGGACATTTGGATTGGGAAACACGTTACAAAATCATAGGAGGGATTTCTCGAGGGCTTCTTTACCTTCATGAAGATTCTCGTCTTCGAATCATTCACCGTGATCTTAAACCTAGCAACATTCTGTTAGATGAAGATATGAATCCTAAAATTGCAGACTTTGGCATGGCTCAATTGTTTACGATGGATCAAACTCAAGGAGATACTAAGACAATTGTGGGGACCTAGTAAGTATCCAAAAATTCTAAATAAGTTAGTATCCTAAATTCATGTTTTAATTTGGTGATATAATCATGCAGTGGATATATGGCTCCAGAGTATGCAATTCATGGACGTTTTTCTGTCAAATCAGATGTTTTTAGTTTCGGTGTGTTAGTTCTTGAGATCTTAAGTGGTAGAAAGGATTACCAGTTTCCGAAGTAGTGAGAATGATGAGGACCTTTTAACCTATGTGAGTAAGAATATAATTTTTAATTTTACACATGATTTAATTCTTTGTATATGAACTTTCTTTCATTAATGTAGTTCTCAACTTTATTATAGGCATGGAGAAACTGGAAGGCGGATACGGTGTCAAATATCATAGATCCTGTGTTAGCGACAGGATTAGGAACCGAAATAATGAGATGCATCCACATCGGTTTACTTTGCGTCCAAGAAAATGTGGCTAGCAGACCAACCATGGCTTCAATTGTTTCGATGCTTAATAGTCATTCTGTCACACTCTCATTACCTTCAAGACCTGCATATTATTTGCATAACAGTGAAAAAGACACCGCGGAAGGAACAAAATCATATGAACCTAAAAATTCTGCAGATTTGTCGATAATGAGGACAACATTACTGAGCCATATCCTCGTTAGTGGGGCTGATTATAAATGTAGGCTTTCTGGTTTATTTTTAAGCGCAAGTTTGTCATAAGACAGGTAGTGTTATGTATACTTCGAACACCGTCACATGATTTGATCCATGATCCATAGAATCCGTCCAGAGTTACGTGCACAGAAGAACAAATGTTTTGGTCAAATAAGAAAAAGAAAGAAACGACCAACTGCAGCCGAAGTTTAAATTTTCACGGATTGCATCGATCATCGAAAGACATGTGAGAAGCGTCCTCGATGGTCTGTTTGCCGGCGATGGCCTTGATGCTAGGGTTTTTATTCCCTCTCTTTTGAAAGTATTGTTTCGTTGAAAGTTGCAACCTTTGACTCCCTTTTATTATATAAATTGTATCCTCGCGTGTAATATGTATATATGTTGTGTGTTCGAACAGATATATAATTTCTATGGAAAATTAGATTTTAATTCTTAAATAAGATGAAGTTTAGAAAAATATCTTATATAAGATTACAAATTACTTTTAGTTCCTAGATTCTATTTAATGTCAGTATATACATTCAATGTCTTTTTACTATATAATTTTATGGTTGCCACTAAGCAAGGCCTTCCAGCCCCAAAAAGCAATTTTTTTTTTTTTAACGAACGATATTATCTACTCAAAGAGGGTGAGGGATTGAGCTTAAGCCTTACAATGTGCTAACAATAATATTGTAATTTAAATTCGCTTTTAAAAGAAAATATCATTAAATTGTAGTACTAAGTGGTAGGTAGCAAGATGCAACCTTATATTAAGCACTGCTTTTGGTGATTACAGTGAACGGTTCATATTATGTTAGCAACTATATATGCTATGTTCGTGGATAATATAGAGTTGTTGTTGGAGAAATAGAGAACAAAAAGCAAAGTCAATTAGTTGGAAAACAAGTAGATGAGTTTCATTTTTTATATATAAAAACAAGAAATTGTTATTAACTCTCCAAAAATCTCATTCTACAGTTCTTACAAGTATATTTTGCTTTCTAATTATAGAAAATTTGGAGTGCAAAATGAGTTTTTTGTAATGCTAATAACAATTTCTTAAAAATATACTTACTAAGAGGTAAAAGAATAAGTTGGTTTCAAACTCATCATTTATAACATTTGAACTTAAAATCTCACCTACGAGTGAAAAATAATATCATTAGACTAGTATTAAGTGACATATTTTAGTTATGTTTTATATATCAATTAAATTATTGTTGCACCCCTAACTTATTAGGTTTTTTTTTCATTTAATGTAAAAGTGTTAATAGAGGGGTATCCGCTGAAACATGACAAGTAATCTGTTCACAAACATCTTTAGCAATATACAAAATGAACTATATTAAGCAAAAATACATGCTAAGAGCAGAAAATTTCCAGAAAAAAAAGGGATTTGGATCCCAACCGGATGCAAATTGTGAGGATCTTAGGAATCCTTACAGCTTAGCCATTCATCGTGCATTGTGCGGTCATAAATCATTTAACTTTTTTTTATTTAAAATTAACCATAAATAGTATCTGACAAAAATTAACAGCACAATGTACATTGAACGGTTAGGATGTGGAGATCTCTAAGATTCCCACAAAGTGGATCCTCTACCTCGTTGAATCTAAATTTTTACATTTCTTATCTGTTCATTTATAATAATTTTAAAAATATATATAAATATACAATTACAGAGTATTTCCTTCTTTCCCAATCCCCCTTCCTCCCCTTCCTTGCACCCACCCTCTTGGGGAAGATGAAGACAATTTTGTTTTGTTTCTTTTTTTTTTTTTTTGGGTTGCAGGTTAGGCTCGGGTTGGGGGGGGGGTGGGGAAGGAGGAGATGGAGGAAGAGAGGGCGTCAGGGGGGGGGTGGGGGGAAGATGAACTGGGGGTTTTGAATGGGGGGAATGGGTGTGGATTTAAGGAGTGTGGTGTGTAGAGGAGGGAAGAGCGTGGGTGCGGAGGAGGAGGGGGAGGAGCGCCATGGGAGGGAGGAGGAGATGGAGGAAGAGAGGGCGCTAGGGGGGGGGTGGGGGTGTTTGGGTTTGGAACGGGGGACGGATGAGGATGATGGGAAGAGGGGATGGGTTTCGCCAGGGGGGATGCGATCTGGGTTTGTTAAGATAGTTCTGTATAATTTACCCTATTTCCTTTTTCTTTGTGGTTGGCCTACAACAAAAATTCCGCATAAATTAGGCATTCGGCCTAATTTCCCTTCAAGGGTTTGAGTATTATTTCCAATAGGTGCCAAAACATAAATTCCACATATAATGACAACAAGTTGAGAGGTACCCCTTAGAAAAAAGTCCAAGGAAAACTAATAAAAATGACCTGAAAATTTTGAGTTTTAATGATAATGACAAAATAAAGGGTAAAGTGAATAGTACCAGGATTAACTTTTTAATGTAAAATTATAGTTTTTCGTTCAAGTGAACAATACCAGGAACTTTTCGTTAAAGTTTTCAAAGTCCAATGACATCAATAAGCTTATAAAGTCACATATACACTTAAAAGACAAAGACTCTATTTTTCTGGGTAAACATAAAGACTCTTTCTTTGTTCATATGGGATTTGGTCTATTTGTGACCAACACTATTTTGGTGAAGTGACTTTAATTTATTGTGGCATTGTGAGTCATTTTATATATGAAGTCTTTGTAAACATCTTAATTGTATATATATAAAAAAATTTGGAACACTCTTTGCTATATTGGTCAAAGGAAAAAACCTGCAAATCAAATTAAGGGTCAGGAACCATTTGGGACGATAGTGGATTTTGAGTTAGATCTGGCGATCGTGTCGTGTGTGTCGTGTTCGTATTGTTTTTGTGACATATCTTAATAGTTGTAACAATGGTCCCTGAACTTTAATCAAATTGGAGCAATGGTCACTCCACTAAAAATTTATTACCATTAGTCCCTTAATTCATTAAAATGTGTAGCTATGGTCATTTTCGTCAACTTTATTAGAATTTTGTCAAAATAAGTTATGTTGGAATGAACATTGCTACAATTGGAGTCCCTCAACTCATCAAAACATGTAGCGATGGTCTCTTTCGTCAACTTCATCAAAATTTTGTCAAAATGAGTTATGCTGGAATGACCATTACTACAATTGTGTTAAAGTTGAGGGACCATTGATTCAATTGGATTAAAGTTAAGGGATCATTTTTCCAGTTGGATTAAAGTTGAGAGACCAATGATTATGAATTTTTAGTTGAGGGATAGCTGCACATTCTGATAAGTTGAGGGATCAATGGTAATTGATTTTTAATTGAAGAATCATTGCTCCAATTAAGTTAAAATTAAGAGACCATTGCTACAATTTACTCTTAATTTATTGTGGTATCGTGAGACATTGTATTTATCAAAGCTTTTATAAACATCTTAAGTTTGTTATAAAATAATTAAAAAAAATAAAAAAAAGAAAAGAAAAAAGTACAAAGGTCTTGCCGCGTCTTCCACAAACACCGAAAAAGCCTGCAAATCAAATTAAGGGCAGGAATCCATCTGGGACCATGGTGGACGACTTTGAGTCAAATACGTGTGCGTCAAGAAAAGGGACGGAGAGAGGCATTGTCGTAAATAAAAAAATGGGTTAATTACAAAAAACTACCTCAAGTATGGGTCAAATGACACTTTTATACCTCATCTTTTAAAATTGACAATGTCATACCTCATCTTACGAATTTGTGTCAATGTTATACCTTCCGTTAGTTTGGCCGTTTATTCTCAGTTAAATGCTGACGTGGCTTGATCTGGGACCCATTTTTATTAAAAAATTAATAAAAAAAATTATTAAAAACAAAAAAAATCATTTAATATTATTTAAATATTAAAATAAAAAAAATTTATTTAAAAAAAAAAAAAAAAAAAAAAAAAAAACCAACGTCAATCTCCCTTCCCTCCCCCTCTCTCCCTTCTCCCCATCTTCATCTTCCCCTTTCTGCAACTACAACCCAGAAAAACAGAAGAGAAAAAAAAAAAAAAAATCAATTTGTTTTCCTTGCTCCTCAACCCCTCTTCTCCCACACCTACGCACCCAATCTTCGCACCCCAACCTCGCACCCACTATCTACAACCCCTAAAAAAAAAAAAAAAAAAAACCCAGAAAAAAAAAACCCATTCTCCTGGGCGAGGAGAAAATGGGCGGCGGGGGTCCGTGGGGGGGAGAGGGGGGGTGGTGGGGGAATGGGTGTGGAGAGGAGATGGTGGGTGTGAGGGGGGGAACTGGGTTGCTGCTGTTTTTTTTTTTTTTTTTTTTTTTTCCTCTTCTTCTTCTTCTGCAGGTTACGAACTGGGGACTTTTTTTTTTTTTTTTTTCCTTCTCTCTTCTTCTTCTTCTGCAGGGGGACGAACTAGGGTTTTTTTTTTTTTTTTCCTCTTCTTCTTCTTCTGCAGGTTACGAACTGGGGACTTTTTTTTTTTTTTTTTCCTTCTCTCTTCTTCTTCTTCTGCAGGGGGACGAACTGGGGTTTTTTTTCCCTCTTCTTCTTCTTCTTCTTCTTCTGCAGGGGACCGAACTGGGCTTTTTTTTTTTTTTTTTTTTTTTTTCTTCTCTCTTCTTCTGCTTCCCTCTTCTTCTTCTTCTTCTTCTGCGGGTTAGGTTGGGTGGGAGTGGACGGGTTTGCTGCTGTTTTTTTTTTTTTTTTTTTTTTTTTTTTTCTCTTCTTCTTCTTCTTCTTTCTCCTTCTTCTTTTCTGGGTTGCTGGGTTGCAGGAAGATGATGGGAAAGAGAGAGGGGGAGATGCACGGAGAGGGAAGATAATGGATGTTTGTTTTTTATTTTTTTATGTACTTTTTTTTATTATTTTATTATTTAAATAATATTAAATGATTTTTTTTTGTTTTTAATAATTTTTTTATTAATTTTTTAATAAAAATGGGTCCCAGATCAAGCCACGTCAGCATTTAACTGAGAAATAAACGGCCAAGCTAACGGAAGGTATAACATTGACACAAATTCATAAGATGAGGTATGACATTGTCAATTTTAAAAGATGAGGTATGAAAGTGTCATTTGACCCATACTTGAGGTAGTTTTTTGTACTTAACCCTAAAAAAATCGAAGGGTAAGAGCCCATTCTAAAAAAGCAATGGCATGACTGTAAATAGAAAGAAATTCCGACCCAAATACTGTTCATTTGAACAGTGCAATAAGCCAATTCGGACTTTGAAGTAGAAAGTTGTCCAGATCGTAATAGCTGTTGAGCCTTAATTATTAACGGGTAAATTACATTTTCATTATTCAAGTTTGGAGTATATTTCAATTTCTGATAATATTTTTAAAATATTTCATTTTCATATATTAAGTACTATTTTATTTCAAAATAATACTTCCGTTACATCTTTCATCCATTGACCTCCAGAAAAAAAAAAAAAAAAAAAAAAAGCGAAATCCAACATCAAATCAGCCCAATACAATGAGTTTCCAATTTTACCCTTGACGACAAGTTTTTGCCCATTTAATCATCTCTCTTTCTCAATCTCTCTATTATCACCTCTATTATCACCTCTATTATCGTTTATATTTTCATTTCAATTTCAATTCCACTATTTTTGCAATCGAATCAATCGAATATATCTCTCTCAACCTCTCCACCGAATCTTTGTTTTCGTACCGTGCGACAATTTGAGCCTTCAGGGGCCTAAGCAAATAACACGAAGTAGCTTCCTCCATTGCAGAAGATAAGTGAGTAGCCATGGGCAAGCTGGCCAAGTTGAATTCCAAGTCCAACAAAAGGAAAACCTCCAAGAGTATGCTCTCTTTTATTTTTGTCTTTATTATTAAAGTTAAAGTCATTTTTATTAAATAAAGTTATTACGTTGTTTTTGGTTAAAAAAAAGTTTGGAGAATCTCTTTTCATTAAAACTCTTTTTTTATTTTTTATTATACACTTACCACAAATTTGTATCATCTCTCTAATAGAGGTATGACCTACCAACACATATGAGTCTCATCTCTAAAAATATGATATGAGACTTACATGTGTTAGTAGCCTCTATCTTTATTAAAGAGACGATACAAATGTAATATGAAAAATATGATAAGTATAGCATTACTCTTTTATTGCACGTCCTTAATTCATTTATTAGTTTTTGTTTATCCATAAATTCACTATCATTTCCGTCTTTTCATTATTTTTATGGAATGTAAGTTTAACCAACCAAGAAATGAACATGGACAGCGAAGGAGATATTATCAATTTGGAATTGGCCAATATTGTACGACAAGCACAAAAACAAATGATCAATACTGTACGACAAGCACAAAAACAAAATCATCATCAGAGGCAATAATGGAGTTAATGTCAAGGTGGTCCCTACATTCTTTGTAGTTTTCCCAATTCAAAATTCTAAACTGGGGTAGGTCGATGTGGGTTTGATCAGCTGGTGAGGGCAATATATGCCATCCTTTTATGCTCGAGTTTGAATCATCTTCTCCTGACTTAGAATAGGATATAGGAATACCACCCGAGTGGCTTGATGGTTAGCGAAGCAGTTGCATCGTGCTAGTTGGTGGTCTATTAAACCAAGAATTGGAGACAAGTTGATTACTATAACAATATTATGAAGTACTACATTTAACTGTAACAACGGAAATGGATTCCTCAAGATTGCTAATTCTCTTCATTGTTCCCGTTCTCTTGGGCCTTCTTGCACCCGCCGGAGCCCAAGTTAATGACGCTACATGCACTTATACAGCTGACTTCTGCTGGAGATGTTCCAACATTGGCACCTACGAAGACGGTGGCACCTACCAAAAAAACCTCAACACCCTCCTCTCCTCTTTCTCTTCCAACAATCAAACCAATTCCGGCTTTTACAATTCATCAATGGGGCAAGACCCCGACAAAGTGAACGCAATTGCATTGTGCAGAGGAGATGTGTCCCTCAACAACTGTCACACTTGTGTCAATCAGTCTAGTCCCTTTCTCTTCACGAATTGTTCGAATGAAGATGAAGCAATCGTATGGGCGGAGCGTTGCATGGTCCGATACTCGAGCAAATTAATATTTGGTATTCAGGAGGATGAGCCTATTAAGTATGTGCCTAGCCTGACTGACGCAATTGATCCCCAGAAATTCGATTTGGTGCTCAATCTCTTTTTGGATACTTTGACTGAGAAAGCTGCTTCAGGGGATTCTCTTAAAAAATATGCAGCCGGACATACGATTATGCAGGAAAGTACGACAAACCAAACAATATATGCACTTGTGCAGTGCACCCCAGATTTGGATAAGCAAAATTGCAGTGATTGCCTTAAAGGGGCTATCTCAAAAATACCAGATTGTTGTGGTGGAAAGCAAGGAGGCAGAGTTCTTAAGCCGAGTTGTAATTTGAGATTCGAGGCAACTCTTTTCTACGAGCCCACTGCCGATTCTCTAGTCACTCTCCCATCTGTAAAAGGCATGGTTAAACTTAATGTCTTATTACAAATTTTTTTTTTTTCTTTGCTTTCTATATGTGACGCTCAATAAAATGAACGCACCCATCTGATGCTAAGCAGGAAAGAAGAGTAAGATATCAAAAGCAGTCATCATCATCATCGCCGTTGTTGGGGTTGTTTTTGTCGCTATGATTCTTATCGGAATATTGATTTCCTTAAGAGTGAGGAGACGATGGAGTAAACAAAAACTTGAAAGTAAGTTCAATTGTGATAATTGTCACATAGTCTGATATATTATGCAATTATCTCAGTAGCGTTTTAGGACATATATGTTATGATTATGCTGTCACTTTTCAGATGATAATTCGATTGACAGTAGTCTGGTGGAGTCGTTGCAATATGACTTTGAAACTATAAAATCAGCAACTGATGACTTCTCTGATGCAAATAAGCTTGGACAAGGTGGATTCGGAGCTGTCTACAAGGTAACAAAACACTATATTAAAAGAAAAACGATTTACTGAAAAATTGTTTTACCCAACTAACTTTTTATTTTTTCTTTATAAATTTCAGGGTAGGCTACCAAATGGAAGAAATATAGCCGTGAAAAGACTCTCTAAAAATTCTGAGCAAGGTGATCGTGAATTTAAAACTGAAGTCACGTTAGTTGCTCAACTGCAACACCGTAATCTGGTAAGGCTGCTAGGTTTTTGCTTGAAAGCAGGAGAAAGAATCCTCATTTACGAATACGTGCCTAACACAAGTCTTAATCACTTCATTTTCGGTACGTTTGCTCTACCTTTTGGCATAATTCATAACATTTCCTCTCAATTTTATATTACTGAAAATTGTATCAACAAAAGAAAAACTTATGAATCATATTTTAATCTACTGCGCTTGTATTTAGATCCAGTCAATCGTGGACATTTGAATTGGGAAACACGTTACAAAATCATAGGAGGGATTTCTCGAGGGCTTCTTTACCTTCATGAAGATTCTCGTCTTCGAATCATTCACCGTGATCTTAAACCTAGCAACATTTTGTTAGATGAAGATATGAATCCTAAAATTGCAGACTTTGGCATGGCTCGATTGTTTACGATGGATCAAACTCAAGGAGATACTAAGACAATTGTGGGGACCTAGTAAGTATCCAAAATTTTTAACTAAGTTAGTATCCTAAATTCATGTTTTAATTTGGTGAATGTAATCATGCAGTGGATATATGGCTCCAGAGTATGCAATTCATGGACGTTTTTCTGTCAAATCGGATGTTTTTAGTTTCGGTGTGTTAGTTCTTGAGATCTTAAGTGGTAGAAGATTACCAGTTTCCGAAGTAGTGAGAATGATGAGGACCTTTTAACCTATGTGAGTAAGAATATAATTTTTAATTTTACACATGATTTAACTCTTAGTATACGAACTTTCTTTCATTAATGTAGTTCTCAACTTTATTATAGGCATGGAGAAACTGGAAGGAGGATACGGTGTCAAATATCATAGATCCTGTGTTAGCGACAGGATTAGGAACCGAAATAATGAGATGCATCCACATCGGTTTACTTTGCGTCCAAGAAAATGTGGCTAGCAGACCAACCATGGCTTCAATTGTTTCGATGCTTAATAGTCATTCTGTCACACTCTCAATACCTTCAAAGCCTGCATATTATTTGCATAATAGTGAAAAAGACACCACGGAAGGAACAAAATCATATGAATCTAAAAATTCTGCGGATGTGTCGATAAATGAGGACTCAAACATTACTGAGCCATATCCTCGTTAGTGGGGCTGATTATAAATGTAGGTTTTCTGGTTTGTTTTTAAGCGCAAGTTTGTTATAAGACAGGTAGTGTTATGTGTACTTAGAACACCGTCACGTGATCTGATCCATGATCCATAGAATCTGTCCAGAGTTACGTGCACAAAAGAACAAATGTTTTTGTCAAATAAGAAAAAGAAAGAAACGACCAACTGCAGCTGAAGTTTAAATTTTCACAGATTGCATTGATCATAGAAAGACATGTGAGAAGCATCCTTGATGGTCTGTTTGCCAGCGAGGGCCTTGATGCCAGGGTTTTTATTCCCTCTCTTTTGAAAGTATTGTTTCGTTGAAAGTTGCAAGCTTTGACTCCCTTTTATTATATGAATTGTATCCTCGCGTGTAATATTTATACATGTTGTGTGTTGGAATAGATATATAATTTCCATAGAAAATTAGATTTTAATTCTTATAATAATGTGATTCAAATTCGCTTTTGAAAAAAAATACCATTAAACTATGGTACTAAGTGGTAAATAGCAAGATGCAACCTTATATTGAGTACTGCATCTGGTGATTATAGTGAACGATTCATATTTTGTCAGCAACTACATTATATATACTAAAACTCAGTTGAGTTTAAGCACTGTTCAACAATAGTAAATGGGTGGAAATGCCCCTGAATTTTTCTGTCCATTACCGTTTTGCTGCCTGCTTCACACAATAAAATACCTGTATTGCCCATGATTGCCACGTGTTGATCATCCTTTGTCCTCCTAGGTTGCATGTCTATGATCGTTGAGTTCTGGCACAAAGAAAGATAAGATAATTAATTAAAAAATTGACAAAAAATTATTTAAAAAAAATGACTTAAATCAGGCCACATGGTTTGACACACCCCGAACAAGGTCAGGGTGTGCTGGCCGTCACGTGGAAGTGACGTAGCCATGTGCACAGTGCGAAAGCTAATAAAGTAGTAACGTAAAGTACGAATAAATAAAAACTAGCATACATAAGGTAGATGTAATAAGAGCTAGCATAAGTGAGACACAAGTTCAGAGCAGAAGGTCTAAAGCAGTCCAAACTAAAATGACGCTACAACAGTACACCCGAAGGTGGCCCTACGCTGGTGATCGTCTGTCAGAAATGTCGGGAAAGCCCTCTGGGAAACCACCGAACCTGCCAGGTAGCTAGAACCTGGAGGGGCGCAAAACAAAAGCGTGAGTGGGCAAAAACAAAGCTTTTCGAAAACCATTTCAAAAACAAGATTCTAACCCCTCGCCGTAAAACCTGTATACTTCCCAGAAAATAAACATATGTACGTATATACAGAAATGCCAATCATGCTCGAGAATATGCCATGTCGGAACCTCAAAATGAAATGCAAGTGCTCAGGTATAAATCACATCAATAACATATAATTTGGCAGCCGGAGTCACCTAACGTGACCTGTACTGCTGCATCTAGAGCTCAGATCTCGATCACAATAACTAAACCTGCCCACGAGTCGGAACCACCTAAAGTGATCTGTACGACAGGCCTGGGTGTAAATACATATAAACGCTCTAGTGCTACGATCACATGAAGGTTGTGCGAATAATCGCGGGTCACCTACGAGTCGGAACCACCTAAGTGGTCTGTACGACAGGATTGTGCACCTAACTTGGATCCAAGCTGAGCGTGTGGTGCGGGAGGTGAACAACACGTGAAGGACTGTGCCCTACTCTGGGCGGGACCGGGGGTGCAGGTTACGAGCTCTCTAAGTATCTCGAATCACCATTTAAAAGTAAACATGAATAACATTTACCTGGCACTTACCTGTGCGTCCACAGCACCAAATATGCCTATGTATATAAATATATACGCCCAATAATGCAACTAATAATGCATAAATGACGATAATATAATGCATGGCATATAACTAATAAACATTTAATTCAATTTCTGGGAAAATATAAGTATATAGGTATATATGGAAAACCAAAAGCCCACTCACTGATAAGTGGAAGGGTCGTAGCCCCCCTGCCTTGAGTGACCACGCTCGTCCTCGGGATACGTCTCACCTATATGCGAAATAACTATAAAAACGTTAATTTTAAAGCACATAACCAAACTTTCGAAATAACTTCTCATACATTGCTCAAATGGGGTGTATGAATACACCAACGTGATCTACTCAACCTCACGAACATCCACAAGTTTTTAGAAAAAATTTTCACCGCCGCACGCGCCCCCACTCGCCGGCCAAGGCACGGCCACACGTGCCGGCCACGCGCAGGCACGTGCCTGGCACGCTGACGGCGTCAACTGACGCCGTTAGGAATATTCCGTCAGTTTTGACAGATTTCGTCAACGGCGTCAGGAATATTCCGTCAGACTTGAGGGAATATTCTGTCTCTTTCCCCGACGAGACTCCAGCGACGTCGCCGGAGCCGGAAAACTGGAAAATTTCTAAAACGTCCTAACTCCTTCGTTTTTCAACCAAATTCCACGATTTTGGTACCAAAATGAAGCCTAGAACTAGAGGAACACAACCATACAACTTTTAAGGGCTAAAAACCATGAAATCTCACCTGCAAAATCGATCCAACTCCGGCTAACTTCGAAACCAACGATCCCGACGTCCAATTCCTTCAAACGAACTACTCCGAGCCTCCTTGGGACCTCACTAAGCTATCTACAAGCTTCATTTTCCCTAAAACGTGAGAGATCACGTGTGCATGAATAGTACCCAAATCGAACATCGTCGAATCGACGTGAAAACGTTGGAGTTCTTACCTGGAAATGGTATGGTTGGACTCCCACGAGTTCCAGGTAAGAACTCCACGAATGCATGGAAACCAAATATTAAAAATTATGAGAAGCCTTGCTGTCTTCCACCTTGCCTTTGGTTATTTTATTTTTTGGTTTTGCTCTGCTTTTTGCAAAGCCACACAGTAGCACTGGAAATAATGATTAGGTTAGTATGTTTTCAAGTTGTTTTATCTTTTCCTCCATTACCATTTAAATGTGATACTAAATCCTATCTAAATATGTTCTATTCTATTCTTGTTTGTTCAGGTTGCTTTATCAATGACAACAAGGGCTGAAGACACCTTTCACTACTCTGATCAAGAATGTTTACCGTGTTTTGTTTATCTATATTAAATCATGTTTAACAACCTATACATATCTTTTTTTGCCTAAAACTCAACAATATTTTTTGCATCCCCATACAACAGCATCTCCTCATTTTTTGTATGCAAAAGCTGGAACACAGTATACTAGATGGGGTTATTAGAAGAAATTCAATTATTATAATGTTTTTTGTATCTTTATACCAGGAATTTCTATATTTCCTCCTGGTCCAGAAATACATACAACTGCTACAATATAATGGATAACTATAATTTGTATCTTTATATTATCTAAATTTAACCTTTTCCAGTTAACACTTTCCAAATTCATTGTTGTTATTGTTGTTCCTATTTTGTAACCGAATTTTTTTTTTATTTTTAACATCTTATCTTAACTTCAAACCCGCAGCAACGCTCGGGTATTAAGCACTAGTACATGCTATGTTCGTGGATATAGAGTTATTGTTGGAGAAATAGAGAACAAAAAGCAAAGTCAATTAAGTGGGAAAACAAGTAGATGAGTTTCATTTTTTTATTTTTTATATATATATAAAAGAAATTGTTATTAACTCTCCAAAAATCTCATTCTACACTCCTCACAAGTATATTTTCTTTCTAATTATAGAAAGTTTGGAGTGCAAAATGAGTTTTTTGGAGTGCTAATAACAATTTCCTAAAAATATACTTACGAAGAGGTAAAAGACACCAACTTCATCATTGATAACATTGAAACTTAAAATCTCTCACCTATGAGTGAAAAAGAAGACAATTAGACTGGTATTAAGTGACATATTTAAGTTTTGTTTTATATGTCAATTAAATTATTGTTGCACCCCTAACTTATTAGGTGTTTTTTTCATTTAATGTAAAGTGTTGATAGGGGTATCTGCTGAAACATGACATCTGTTCACATACATCTGTAGCAATAGATAAAATGACCTATATTAAGCAAAAATACATGCTAAGAGCAGAAAATTTCCAGAAAAAAAAAAAAGAAAGATTTGAATCTTATGGATCATCACATCTTAGTCATTTATTGTGCATTGTGGAGTCATAAATCATTTGACTTTTTTTTATTTAAAATTAAACACAAATAGTACCTGACAAAAATTGACTGCACGATATACATTGAACGGCTAGGATATGAAGATCCCTAAGATTCACACAAAATGAATCCAAAGAGGATCCTCTACCTCGTTGAATTTAAATTTTTATATTTCTCATCGGTTTATTTATAATAATTAAAAAATAATACACACACACACACACACACACATATATATATATATAGTATTTCCTTTTTCTTTGTGGTTGGCCTACAAAAAACAATTACGCATGAATTAGTCATTCGGCCTAATTTCCCTGCAAGGGTTTGAGTATTATTTCCAATAGGTGCCAAAACATAAATTTCACATATAATGACAAAAAGTTGAGAGGTACCCCTTAGAAAAAGTCCAATGACATCTAAAAGCTTATAAAGTCACATATAAACTTAAAAGACAGACTCTCTCTCTCTTTTTTTTTTTTTTCGGTAAACACAAAGGCTCTTTCATTGTTCATATGGGATTGGTCTATTTCTTGATTTAAAACTAGATAATGACCACCAACCATTTGTCTAGTAATATTAGTCTACTTAATTGGTTGAAGGAAAGCTCAAGTATGTATATTTATTGTGAGCTTGAAGCCTAATTGTGACTAACACTATTTCGGTGAAGTGACTTTAATTTATTGTGGCATTGTGAGTCATTTTATATATAAAGTCTTTGTAAACATCTTAGTTGTGTGTGTGTGTGTGTGTGTGTGTATGTATATGTATAATTACTACAAAATTTGGAACACTATTCGCTATATTGGTCAAGGGAAAAAAACCTGCAAATCAAATTAAGGGTCGAGAAACATTTGGGACGATAGTGGATTTTGAGTTAGATCTGAGGATCGTGTCGTGTGTGTCGTGCTCGTATCGTTTTTGTGACATATTCGATATTTTAATAGATTGAGTCGTGTCAAGTCCGTTAAAATGAAGGAGTAATATGACATGACCTATCTCGACTCATTAAAATTAACGGGTAATAGATCTGATCCGTTACATGATAAAGAAAATATATTTTATTTTAATAAATAATTAAATAAAAAAGGCACACTAAATTAGTATTTACATACTACATTGTCACATAAACTTTACTTCAAAACATAAAAAAACATTTATCTTTCAAATATCTACAATCTAACTGTGAAATACCAAAGCCGTATGAACTTTCTTTCACTAATGTAGTTCTCAACTTTTATTATAGGCATGGAGAAATTGGAAGCAATACAATAGACCCTATGTTAACAACAGG